CCCTTAAACTTTAATGTATGAGTCAACATACCTATTGATATATCATATTCTATATCTTAAAACATAACCATTTATTTATAGTAATACATAAATTCAGAAAATTCTCGAATGACCTAATCTAAGAATGAAATAGAAAATTGATTAAAATGTATGCATTATCAGGTAGTTCCCTGCATACCACTTGTTGACGAGTAAGAATATATAATGTCTAATGAGATTTTTGTTTGTAATAAAAATTAAAATTATAAGGCAAATGATAACTTATTTGTTATTGAATTTACCCCATCCTTGAGTATATATGTTGGTTTCTTGTTTGACGAATGGGATAAATTCCCAAGTAAAAATAAACAGTTTTCTGAAAAATTATAACTTATCAAGTCTACAGAAAAATACACTAGGACGTGCAAATTGTTACGAACGTACGTGGTCCTCTTCTATTTTATTTGACAAAAATTTCCAAGTGTCGTTTTATTTAATATCTTATCATTTGTAAATTATAGGATCATGAAATATCTGTCACGTGCTTTCTAGACACTATCATTGGTGCTTAGTGCTTACACGTTTCTATTTTTTTTCTTAATTCCCTTACAGCATCATACTAGTAATATGTATTTGTTTTCAACAATAATTTCCGCTAAACAAAAATAAATTCCTCTCAGAATAATAACTTAAGTACTTAACTACTTAAGTGCTTGTTATCTTTTTTTGGTAAAGAAGTTAAGAGCATGTTATAGTTTCTGAATTTTCAATGCATTTTTTCCTTTTGTGAAATTCAATTTTCGATTCAATGTTTTTAGAGGTTTAGTTGAGGACCTTCAGGTTAAGTCTTGCGACTGTTATAAACTTGTTATGATTGAAAAAAGTATATATAGACATCAACATATATAATTTAATAGAAGAAAATATATAGTTTAATTAGGGTTACAATGTATATAATTGTAAAAAGAAGAGAAAAGTTGTGATAAGATTTGTTGCTTTGGACTTTCCTCGTGTTTTCGTGTTTCACTCCTCTCCTCACACTTAAATCTTAATCTATATTGTTTAATTATATACAATCCACATGTATAGTTATCTAGGATTGCTTGTCAAACTCAGCTGAAAGTTTATTTTCCTGTAACATAAATTTGAGTCGTGAATAATTATATTTTCCTTCTCCGGAGTTGTAATTGTTGTAACACCATTAATTAAAATTTGTTTCAAAAAGAAATTTGTTTCACAGATACGTCATTGTCAGAAATTAATTATCTAATTAGTTTTGCATACTAATAAAAAAGGACTCAAGGACAAAACTGACCTTACGTTCCAGGTCGATTTAGAGGCACCTTTTTGCATGTACGTCTGCAACTCGACCCCATTAATATCACAACAAACTCTTCAATTTACTAAAATATAAGTTACTAGTATTTTTTATAACTTTTCG